CTCCCAGGCAAGCCTGTCCCCGGAGCTCAACGCCTCCCTAGGGAAACATAAGTCCATTTCAGGCATTTTGTTTATATTTCCTCTACTGGCGAGAAGAACTTTTTTGCCCCTGAGAAATGGCACTTGAGATGCCCAGCTGCCCGGTAACCCTGGGGCCATAAGCCTCACCCACCTGCGCACCCCTGTCAGTGCGGACACCGCAGGCCGCCTTCGCTTTTCCTTCTTTTCTGTGTCCCCGAGTCAGTACCTGGCTCAATACATTTTGTTAATTGAATTCACACATTTAAAAATTACATGTATACATATTTTGACTAGTTAAAATTGTTACTACTCCTTTTCTCTAAAGATAATGGCTTTGTTAGCTGAACACCTGTCAAGCGCTAAAACAGCTGGAAGCTATGCTGCAGGGAGCTGCCCTGTGCTTAGCGGCGTCCCTGGCCTCCACCCACCAGATGCTGGGTGTCTTCCCCCAGGTTTGGTGGCCAAAAGTGTCTCTGGACACTGCCAAGGGTCCACCGGGGGCAACACTGTTCGTGGTTGAGACCACGGAGCAGAGGACCGTGAATGAGGCTCCGGAGGAGGGGCGTTGCAGCCAATGTTTTCTGGACAACTTGCCCCCCCAGACCCTGGCAGAGAGCTATGGGCATGCTCCCTTCACTGGGGCATTGAAAGTGCATCCGTGCAAAGCTCTTTGAGGACTGTCCTGTGCAGGACATAGATGGGTGACAACGGAAGTCCTGATCTCAGTGAATGAGGGATCCCAGCATGGGAAAGGCGGGCAGGCATTGGCAGTCGAAGAGATGGGTTGGGCACAACCCAGTTCACTGATCGAGAGCCCCCGACTCCTGCGAAGGGGAGGTCCTTTGAGAGAGCTCCTTGGGATAAAGTGTATTCTATAAAGCTCCTAATTTTCTGCAGAGGCTTGTGCTGCCAATTATGAGAGTGACTGCACCAGAAAGGGAGAATGAGGAATATTGTTCATAGATCCTGGCTCTGATGTGCTAATTCCCAGAAATGCAAAGTGTTGCTATAGTCCACTGGTGGGAGTAGGGACTTATCAGGTCCAGTGATAGAATCCTGGCTTGAGTCCACCTCATACTAGGTCCACTATGGCCATAGAACCATCCTCTAACAGAATACCCACAGCAGTTCCCTAACTCAGGGGTGAAGCCATTAAAGTAGAAGAGGCACTTTGGAAGCCCCTAAAATAGCCCCCATCCCAACTCCAAGGAAGTAAACCAAAAGTAAGGCCATAGCCCAGGGAGATTCCAGAGATTAGTGCCTCCATCAAAAGTTGATAAATGCACAGGTAATGATTCCGTCCACACTCCCATTTAACTCACCTGTTTGGCAAATCAAATGCCAGATGGTTCATGGGGAATGACATAAGATTATTGCAAATTTAATCAAGCAGTGATGACATTATAGCTGCACCGTAGGATATAATATCTTTATTAGAGCAAATAAACTGTTATGCACCCAAAAACTGAGCTTAAAAAATATATGTAAAGAAAAAAATAGACCACAAAGAAAAATTTTTTAAATCCATGGTTATTGTTGAATATTTCAACAGTGTTTTTACATATATACACATGCATATATATATTTATACACACACTTATATATATAGTGGGTATATATATAAAACACATATTTAAAGAGAGAAAGAGACTTATTGCAAGGAATTGGTTCCCAGGACCATGGGGCTGGCTAGGCAACCCCAAGCCCACAGGGCAGCCCGTCTGGAGGGCCAGCCTGGCCCTCTGGGCACATACCAAGGCTGTTGTACACAGGACCACAGATTTACTCCTGTCCATTTTGTTATTTGTTTTTTGGTTGTTTTGTAGAGCACTTTTTCCTTTTTCTTGTAGTAGTCTGAGTCCTCTAGAAAAACAGAACCAATTATATTTACACATATATAATATATACGTATACATGTGTATATCTATGGGCATGTATGTGTATGTATGTATGTATGTCAATATATGAGCCAATTCCATAAGAGGTTTATGATAAGAAATTGGATTGCCTGGTCATGGAGGCTTAGAAGCCCCAAGATCTGCAGTCAGCAAGCTGAGACCCAGGACAGCCAACGGTGCAGCTCCAGCCCAAACCCAAAGGCTGGAGAACCAGGCACCAGTGGTTTAAGTTCCATTCCAGGTCCAAGTCGAAGGGCAGGAGATGACCAATGTCCCAGCTCAAAGACAGGCAGGCAGAGGGGAACCCCTCCCTTACACGGCCATTGTTCCATTTAGGCCCTCAGTGGTTTGGACAGTGCCCACCACACTGGGGAGGTCTTTGGCTTATGCGGTCCACTGTTCAAATGCCGGTCACATCCAGCAACGCCCTCACAGACGCTCCCGGAATAATGTGTGGCCAGATCTCAAGTCAATGTGGAGAACTCACCCTTTCAGCCTCACACCTCTCCTGGGCTCTCCAGGCCATGTAGAACCTGGCTGGGTTGGGACACCCTATTAGGAGAAATGCCATGCCAGGGTCCTGTGGCGATCCTGGCTCAGGCCACGTTGGCCTAGAGTAGAGCAGAGGAGCCGGAGGCCAGCGGGCGCCATGGAAGGGCATCACGTGGCTTTCTCCTCCAGAGAGCAGGGCCACCCAGCCTCATGGGGCATAGGTCACCACGAGCTCCCTACTGCCAGTGCAGAATCTGCTGCACGTTCTGCCAGGCCACCATCTCCCTGCAGGCCCGGCTGGAGACCAGTGCAGCAGGGCCACCAAGGCCGAGACCTTCACACCCATGTGGGACTGGCCAGCACACACTCTAGTCTCTGTCCAGTTCCACAGCAGCCCAGGGCTCCCTGGCCTCCCGCCCTCCCTCCCAAACCCAGCTGCGGGTTTACATCTCAGCCTAGGCCTTTCCCTGCCCCTTGCTCCCGCCTCCAGGCAGCCAACTATCATGTCCTCTGTTTGTGCCAGCACGAACATGAGCGACTTCAGCCCATGCCAATACCCACCTCTGCTCTGAGAGCCAAAGGCATTCCCAGGGAGGGGGCCTCTCCCCGGCCCACATGCCTCCTGGTCCAGTGCTGGCACCTCGGACCGCAGCGTGAACTTCCTGCCCCACCACCTGCCTGCTGGCGAGCAGCGCTTGCGCTTGCCCTGGCACCCCCGGGCACTGCCACTCCAGCAGCCACAGACCCAGGAAGCACAGGGTGACGATGGTCTCAGCAGATCACCCCCGGATCTTGCTCCAGGGCTGCAGCGTGCGCCACACAGGTGGTTAAATATTTTCAACGTCACCTGATACCCAGCCATGCAGTCACAGTGCTGCACTGCTGTCTAGGAAGCCCGGGCCCACGCGATGTCTGGCAGCCCCTAGACAAGGCCTCTAAGTGGCTCCTGCTTCTGTCTCCTCTGCCCACTCTGGACAGATGGACAGACAGCCACCGGCAAGCCTGCAGGCCTGCCAGGGACTCTCCAGGAAGCTCCATCTGGCTCCTGCCTCACCAGGCAGGGCAATGACGGCACAGAGGGCAGAGCCCGGCCTGCGCCAGGTCACCGCATCCCAGGCTGTGGCTGGGCCAGGCATCGACTGGCTTCACCTGCACTTGGGGACTCAGGCTTCCTCCTGGTGGGGCCATCCTCTTCCCACCCAACACTGATTGTTTCCCTTCACCCATCTCCTGTCCCCAAAATCCCTGGAGGAGGGTTCTGTGGTCTTTCTGGGGACCTCAAGGGGGAAGTCCTCCCATCACCTGCAGCTCTCAAACTTCCCAAAGGACAAGGCACTTCCCAAAGGACAGGGCCGCAAACGGCCTTGGGAAGGACCCAGGCGTCAGCAACCTAGCAGGCGTCAGCAACCTAGCACCCCTTCAGGCTGGGAGTCACTGTGGTCAAGCCACACGATCTGGGGCAGAGTTGTGGGCTTTAGTGAAGGGGCCAACAAAAGTGGGGTCCACCTGGGAGCAGGAGCAGGGCTGCTGGACGGGCCGCGAGAGCCAGCCCTGCCCTGCCGGCAAGTGTCTGTGCCCAGGGAAGCAGAGGCTGCGTTTCCCGTCCAGGGCACAAGCAGGAGTATGTGTGCCCCGCCAAGCCCGGGGGCGTTGGGTGCTGCGTCTGGGCAGCTCTCAGCCTGTCTCTGCGAGGGTCCCGACCACGCTGGGCCCATCTTACCGCAAGGCTCTGCCAGTCAGGGGCACCCGGCCCCTTCTGGGCAGCTCTGCTGTGCGGCCACACCCGCCCCTCGCTGGTCCAAGGCCTTATCTGAGACAGTCAAGTCCGCAGAGTCCCAGACCACTGGCCCCCAAAGCAGGCATCCGACGAGTGTAGATCAGGAGCTCGCAGACTGCTGCTTGCAGCCACCCAGCGTCCCCGCACCGCCACGCAGGCGCTGCCGTGTCTGCGCTCATGCTGCCACCGAGGGCCGGGCAGCTGTGACAGACGCCTCGAGGGTGCAACGCCGGAATGTTTGCTCTGTGGCCCTTCACACAGGTGCCGGATGCCGGAGCCAGCCCACTCAGGTGGGGGACACGCCCATGAGAAGGGAAGGGCTGGCCGCGGGCACACGCAAGCCACACACCTCACGACCCGTCCTGCCTCCCTCCCCGGGAGGCCCAGAGCAGAGCAGACCTGGCACCGCCAGCCGGGACGCGGCCGGGTCTCCTCACCCAAACGGTCCTGAGCTGCGCCGCCTGGGCTGTCTGGACCGCCCAGCGCGCCTCGCTTCAACCCCGCGCGGGGCCGTCTGGGCTGTCTGGCTTCAACCCCGCAGGGCTGTCTGGGCCGTCTGGGCCGTCTGGGCCGTCTGGGCTGTCTGGGCTGCCTGGCAGTCCCCACGCTGGGAAGTCTGGGCTTGTCTGCCAGCGCGTGGCGCCCGCCCCGGAAAGCACAGCCTGTCCTCTGCCCGCCGCCGCGTGTGCCCGCCGCGTGTGCCCGCCGCGTGTGCCGCCGCCCTGAGCGCCGGGGTGCACGGTTCACACCCCAAAGGCTTCCTCTCCCGAGATACAAATGCAGCAACGAATAGGGGGACCCCAAACGAGAAGCAACTTTCAAAATAGCTTTATTTTCCCTCATCGGTGTCTTGTGTCGCACGTTGAGCGGCGCTGGCCGCGCCTTCTTGTCTGGGTGTTTCTGCCAAGCTCGCTTCTTCCGCCACTGGCGTCTCAGCCCTCTGCTTCTTCTTCTTCGTCTTCCTCTTCTCCTCCTTCTTCTTCGGATACTGTTAATGCTACTAAATGTTTAAAAACAAAAAGGTTTTTTGTTTTCAGATGGAATATTCAGCAATCCCAGGGCAATCTCAGCAAGGTCCCTGAGCGCCCCGCACGCGCCCCGGGGAGCCGTCTACACAGCAGCCGGGGCAGCGGGAGCCCTGCGCTGCCCTGGGCTTCTCAGTGCACTCGAGTTGGACAAATTAGATAAGTTAGAATTTTGCCCAAACTAAAGCAGCAATTATAACTTCTGTTGAGGGGCCGATGTCACCATCGAGCGCCTCTCACGGGCACCGTCTGGTGAGGGGACGTCCCAGGACCGTCTCACCCTCCTCCTCCTCGCCGCTCTTCTTTGAGGGCGCGCTGGCAGCCTCCGGCCCCGCATCACTGGCTCCGGCTGCCTCGACGTGCTCGCTGGACTTGAGTGAGGTGGCGGCCTCTGGGGCTGCCTCCTTCTCTTTCCTGCTCTCCTGAACAACTCTGAGGGGACAGGTTCTTATCACAACCAGAGAAATGAAAGAAACCTCTCTGGGCCATCCCACCCCGAACAGCCCTCTAAAACACAGGTTTCATAACCACGTATGTGTATTCTTTAAGGTAAATGCTTTGCCTTAATAGTTCTCGTTTTAGAGTCTTGTGCATGCTCCAGACAGACAAGCCAAATGTGGCATCCGGGGTCCCAAGGACAACAGCAGGCAGGGGAAGATGCACCTTGTGCTGCAAGTCACAGACGGTCAACCCATGGCTAATACACACAAGACACCACGCAGCGCCACGCACAGGAGGAAGATGGCTTTGCTTGCTTGTTGCTGGACAAAGTGACTTCAGTGACTGTGCATGTCACAGGGACAGGGTTTGTGCTGGAAGGCGCTTGGCCCTGCCCTGTGGACAGCCACCTGCTGTGTGGCCCCAGCCTGCATTTCCTCGCCGTTAACCAAGAGGGAGCAGAGAGCTCTGCAACACCCCAGCTCTGATGTCCACAAATATGACCCGAGCCACAGGCCACAGGGACTCGGGAGCTCTGGAGACCACAGGGAGCCTGAGTTGGATCCCTGCCGCCTCCTTACCGCTGCAGGACCCCTTGGTTACCGGGACAGGGACCGTGACGGCATGTGAACAAGCTGCATAGAGCACTTAGACTTTTAGGTGCTCACTGGGCGTCTTTTATGGTTTCCAACAACGAGAGAAGACCATAGGGTGCCCCCTGCCAGGCCAGCTCGCGTCACCCCAGGTTCACAGAGTGCTGCTCGGGTGGGCCCAGCAGCACCCCGCCCCGAGGAAGCCGGTGTGGTGAGTGTCCCCTGCCCTGGGGCCCTGGTGTCCGTGGGACGGGACAGCGTGACTGACCTGTAGATGACGGTGATGATGACAGCCCCCGCAACGATCACGATCAAGGCAGAGAACACCTGCACGTAAACTGAAAGGCAAGTTTGTTTGGACCCCAGTTAATTGGAGAAAGAAAAAGGGAAAGGCAAGCCTCCCCACGTAGGGCTGTGGCCCCTCGGGGCGCCATCAGCGTCCCTGCCCCCTCCGCACACTCACTGCCCCAGCGTCTGCACCAACGCCAGCCCAGGGTGGGGTCAGCGCTGCCCGGAGGACACCTGTGACCGCCCTGCCCAATGTGAGGTGTGGCAGAGATGGCGGCACCCCCACCCCCCCGCTCCTGCAGCCACCCTGGCCTCACGCCCATCTCCCTGGAAACAGTCCCTCAACACCCGGGCAGTTCCCCCCAAAACTTAACACGAGGAAAAGGCTGTGGGGATGACAGACTGGTCTTGACGAGCTTCTCTGACTTAATAAGGAGCCTCCACGATCCCCAAGCTGCTCGTGTCTCTAAACCCACCCCAAAAGGAGCAGAGCCTTTCGAGGTGACTCTCGGGGGACCGCTACTCCCCATGTTTCCTGAGCAGAAGCATCCTTAGTGCACAGTCTCGGCCTCTCTGCACTCCCAGGCAGGGGTGAGGTGGAGGAGGAACCGGGTGTGGCTGCTCCACCCCTGCCTGCGCCCCCTCCCAGGGGACTGCAGCACCCTGCACCCAGCACAGAGGCAAGCTGGGTTCCGGGCACTGACACTGGGGTCTCCCTCTGCTCGCCGGCTCAGACTTGGCCAGACTGAAGGGTCTTAGTCACTGGACCCCTGCAGCCCTCACGGTTCTGCATGAGCACTGCTCCAATCCTGGTCCTGTAGTCAAATAATGTCCCCACCCTAGTTTTCATCCTTCTAATTCTGGACATCAGGTTGATGTGAGGATTTTTAAAAAGTTAATGCAAGTGACGTTCTTCACATAGGGCTTGGCAGACAATATGTGCACAGTAGTTCTTTTTTGTTGTTATTGTCATTATTATGTTTTTCTCTAATTGCTTTTTACTCTCTCAAAGGAAAGAATCTGGCTCACTTGCCAATGCCTAACTCGAGTGACATGACTAGCTTCAATTCTCTCACCCCTTCCTCCCTCCAAATTGCTCAGTGTCTACCCGGCAATAACACTGTCAGAGGTCGTTTCCCTGCAAGGTGCGCCAGTCTGTGGGAGCTGCCGCAGCAAGCACCGCAAACCAGTGCCTGGAACCAACAGGAACGTGCTGTCTCCCCGCTCTGAGGCCAAGTTCAGGTCCGGTGTCGGCAGGACGGGCTCTCTATATGCTCCAGGGGAGGAGGCTGCCTTGCTTCTCCCCAGATCAGGGGCCGCCCGTGGCTCTGGCGTTCCTTAGTGCTGTGGCTGCATCGCACCCACCTCTGCCCGCAGGGTCACATGGCCTCCCTCTGTGTTTCTCTGTCTCTATGTCTCCTCTTCTCTTTTTATAAGGACACCAGTCATACTGGATGGAGGGCTCATTCTACGCCAGCGAGACCTCATCTTAACTCGTTACATCTTCAAACACCCTCTTTCCAAATAAGGTCACTTCACAGGTACCAACGATTTGCCCTTCAACGTACGTTTTGGGCAAGGACAACTGCATGTGAGACAGAGGGCTGGCGTGGGCCACAGTGGGCCACCTCCAGGCTTTCTCACGAGCAGGGTTCCAGGGGGGCCTGCGTTCACCAGCCCCATGTATGGGGTCTGCAGGACTGGACGAGGCACCCGATCCCACACGTGGGGACTGAAGTCACATGATCAAAAGAGGTTGGAGCCAATCAGCTTATGACGGAGCTCCAAGACCTTGACTCTTCCCACACCGATGTGACCTCAGTGAGTGATGGTGGAGTATGCAGTGGTGTTCAATGACCGAGTAGTCAGGGAGAGGCTGGCGGGAGAGAGGTGCTATGTGGTTGGCAGATGACAGGCTCCTGCACGTACAAGGAACAAAGCAGGGAGCCCGTGCTGAGGTCTGCTCCATTGGTTGGCCACGTCCTCAGATGATGGCCTTCTCACGGGCATCTCCTCACCTAGGAGGAAGGCGAGGCCTTCCAAATCCCAGGGCCTCGTGCCAGCTTCCAGGTGGTGCCAGTGATTCTCCTGCCGTTCTCACTCCCAGGTGGAGGCTCCCACAGTGAACAGGTGACTTCTGTAACCAAAGGAGGCATGGCAGGGTGCAAATCCCAAAGCCAGGGGAAAATACATCAGCTTCCACCCTGCTCTGTCTCCGACCCCTCGCTCTGGGGAAAGACTCCTCGCAGTAAGGAGAGGCGTCCTAGAAAAATCTAGTACTGGCTTCCCAGCAAGGTGAGTCATCGTGGAAGCCAAGCTTCTAGGTGACTGCAGCCTCGGTTAACATCTAGACTGCAATCTCATGAGACTGCCATGCCCAAACCAGCTAAGCCTCTAAGTTGCTGTGTTAAAGCACTAACTTTTGGGAGAGTTTGTCACACAGTGATAGAAAATGAATACAAGGTATTGTGTAGAGCGTGCACAGAGAAAGTACATTTTATTTATTTTTTTCAAGTGGTTTATGTACTTTATTTTTTTTTTTATTTCAGCATATTATGGGGATACAAATTTTAAGGTTTCAAATAATGCCCTTGCCCCCCTCCCCCCACAAGTTTGGCTTGAAGCATGACCATCCCCCAGACGGTGCACATCTCACTCATTGTGTATGTATATACCCGCCCCCCTCCCACCTGCCCAATACCCTATTACTGTAGTTCCTATGTGTCCACTTAGGTGCTGCTCAGTTAATACCAGTTTGCTGGTGAATATATGTGGAGCTTGTTTTTCCATTCTTGGGATACTTCACTTAGTAGTATGGGTTCCAGCTCTAACCAGGAAAATACAAGATGTGCTAGATCACCGTTGTTTCTTAGAGCTGAATAGTACTCCATGGTATACATATACCACATTTTATTAATCCATTCTTGGATTGATGGCACTTTAAATGATGCTGAAGAATTGATGGAATAGAAATGAATGAATAAAGTAAGTGAATTAAGATCTTTTAAGGGACAAGAAGGTAGTGCTCAAATTCTCGAATTTCAGGGAAATTCGTTAGTATTACTTTGAGTCTTAGTTCATGGAATAAATTAAAAACGACATGTGAGTGAAGTCCTGTTGAGACACAGGTATTTCACCAACATGTCAGCGCCTCGCTGTCACTCCAGCTCCATGTCTCTGCATGTGCTCGGACTCCTCGCCCTCGGCTCCGAGCTCCCAGGCAGGGGCCAAGTCCGTGGCTCTCCCCGAACAGTGTCTGTCTAACAGCACTTTCTTACAAGCCACGACTAATCCTAAACCCCATATATGGTTGATCTTTCAGAAATAGCAACAACTGAAGAAAGGATTGTTTTCTTGAAGGAAAATCTTGGTGAATTCTCCCCAAATGTAGTTAAACAAAACTTTTGAAATCATCTCAGCAAGTCCCATGAAGAAATTAAAGTCAAATACTTAGAAGAAATGACATGTTACATAACGTACCCTAAATCAAAACTGAAGAATGAAGGCAAGTCTTTCTCTTTGAATTCCCAATTCTTTCTGAAAGATCTAATGCTAATTCCCCATGTTCATAGTCTTAATAATACAGATTATGCCATAACACAATGTGCGCTTCAAACCAGCCAATTTAAGAAGTTGGTGAAAGGTTTTCATAACATGGAATTATGTGCACAAAGAACTCATAATACCCTGTCACTGAATACTACAACTTACACAGCACAAAGGTTCATTCGTCATCTTGAATGAGAAACATGTCAAAGAATGAAAAATAATTTGAGAGCACAGTGAGAATCCAAGTGCAGGGCTCACTGCCCAGACCTTTGCCACAGATGGGCCAACCTCTCAGTCTGGAAAGAAGTCAGAAGTCAAGCATAAGCACAGCCATGCTACCCATTTATTAAAATAAGAAGGATGCAAAGAGGGTTAATAGTTGCTTCCATGCAAACATGGCACACACACTTGCAAACAGTGAGCCCTCTTCAAGTGCTAAAGTTCTAGAAAGCTGCTGTTCTTTCTTGGGTTCCGTACACCAGAAAGGAAGACACTGTGGTGATGAGGCTTTCCAAATGAGTGACAGGCATTAGATGATTGCTGCAACTTAAACAATGTGGGATATTTATACCAACATTTATAGAATGGCCAACACCTGCATAAAAATCTGATTAAAATATGCCCAGGGGATGGGACACATTACAAAAGCAGCAGCCGCTTGGATGTGAGTTACCTTACTAGCTGTGATCTTTTTGGGACAACCCATTTTACCGCATTGGGTCTCTGTTTCATTGGGATATAAGGAAACTGGGATCATTTATTGCCAAAGACAATAACCAGCTCTGTGACCTGGCCTGAGAATTGAACGTCTTCTACATCTGTATATGGAGAAGATTGAAAGAAAAAATTCAAATATCTTTTGGATACTAATTTTTCCTGCTTTTAGGAGCCCCATATTGTAGACTTCTCAGAAAAACTAAGTTGTGTAAGTGCCTAGGAGACTGGCCTTCTCTAAGAAGCGCACTCCACGAGGTGGGTGGAGAGAGTTGGGTTGTGAGTGTCTGCTGCTCCCATATATGAGATGTGAGCATCAAACCACCAATTCCACCAAACAGCAAAAAGGCGACAAGTGCAAAAAGCAGCAGGTTATGGCCAAATCACCACCCAGTGCTATGAACTCAGCTCCAGGAGCACCTGTTACACACCCTGCAGAATGAACTGTAGAATGCAGCAGTATGATAGAACATTCAACACTGGAGGCCTGGGACTCAAAAAGGTCTCTTAAGTAATGTTCTAGCTAAAGGCCATGGACTTCCAAGAGGACAAGAGGAGGAAAATGGACTCCTTCAGAAAAGGCACCGTGTCTTGTTGTAACTCTCATTATCCCACTGTGTACAACTAGAATAGAGGTTAAGTAAAGCCCAGAATTGACTTTCAGAGTGGTATTAGTAGTAGCAAAAAGCAGAGTAAAGACCTCCCCACACACCCCATTCCTTCCTCCATAAAACCAATAAGAACTCTGTCAAAAATATCAGAAAAAAAACTTTTTCAGAAGTCTGGA